TGTATTATACTACATTATACATATTGACATGCGAATAAAATATTATTATTATTATTAACTTTAGTGACACAGTTGGCTCCGGATCCCGATTTGAGGAAAAGAATCGATGCAAAGGAATGGTCAATTAAGCGTTATGATAATGTTACACTTATCGTTAGTAATGGTTATGGTATGTCTAAAGTGCGGTAAAAATATCAAAAATTAGATTTTTGTTTTATAAATTACCAAAACAGACTATTTTTCAGTCTCGATTGTGAAAATGCTTGTTCCATCCGATTTCGACACTAATATAGGTTATACAGTTGTTGTTTCTTTGTGAGCTGATTGGTTTTCAAATTTTTTTTCGCGTTAATGCTCCTTTCCAGCATTATACAAGATCCCCATGCAAAAAAAAAGGTTTTCCACTAATTTTCACGCGTTTTTCGAAACCCGATCACTCAAAAAGTATCCTGAGGTAATACTATATTTTCAGATATGGAGGCCCGGGCTCACAAAATGCGATGGAATATTTCGGTCCAACCGATTTTCACGAATCGTTAGTTTCTTCAGAGAAACATATTGTTATTTATATTGACGGTCGTGGTACGGGACTCAGAGGATGGAATTACAAAGAGCCAATCTACGGGCAATTAAGCACAGTGGAAATCGATGATCAAATTGAAATAATGAGGTTTTTGGATTTTTTTGCTTTGTGCAACGTACTGGTGGATTTGTTGTTTGCATAGCGCTATCCTTCTTCCAGCACTCTGGCAAAGAAGTATGACTTCATCGACTCGAGCCGTATCGCAATATGGGGATGGGTAAGGAGCTGTCTCAATTCTTGATTTATTTGCTTTTGCTTATCATCAACAAGATGATCTCATGAATTATTTTGATGAAATCATGAAGAAACTTGATGAATTATCTCCGCTTTCATCGCAATCAACCTTGAACGTATATCTAATATATTCCATACGGTATACTCTTCATATCAGGAGTTCCCATAGAGAGAGTAATTACTCATTTTTGGATGATTTCGGGGTGTCAGGGCAGTGGAGGGGGTCGGCAAATCAGTTCTGACGTTGTGTGTGGAAATAGTAAGTTATTGTGGCAATAGGCTGGATAATGACGGCCTGTCAAATTGTGGAAAGGGGTAATGGAGCAGCCGAGCGTGGGAACCACTGTTGTACATCAGCAACTTTTTTATCGCATATCCCCATTAATGTGATTCAATGAACTCTCCTCGGAAAATTGTTATAATTTCCCAAAGTTTAGTCATACGGTGGTTTCGCGACAGCGCATGTCATTGAGCACGACAATGAACGAACGTTCAAGTGCGGTGTGAGTGTGTTTGCCATCATTTTTCGGGAGTGTTTCTTCACTGTTGAATCTTATGCTTCTATGCCGTCGTATCGATGCCTCAATTCAAAGCAAATTGCACGTGGTCGATATTTGCCTCCATGTGAATGCAAATGCTGCCACAGTATTGATGCATCCTTTCCACAGTTCTCGAATGTGATATCGACTTTGCTCTGACATTTCGTCTATTTTGTGATCAAACTGAGTTTTTGAGTGAACGAAATAATATAGAACGCTAGCGAGACGTTTGTTAATCGTTACACTGTTGCAGATAACGTTCATATTCAAAATACATTTGAATTGATAAGGGCACTAGCTGAAAAGAACATACTCTTTGAATCAATGATCCGTGCACATCTTCAACTCATTCAGCGATTTACCATATAATTTTATTGAATTTTATGAATTTATGACTTTTATTATTTCTGTTGTTATCATTGTTTAATGTTTTTACGAAAATCATCAATATTACCACTTGAACAGATGTAGTTGTTTCCATGCATCTTATCACCACCATCAACACCACTATTCTCGTCAATGGTCACCTTATTAACATTCAATCTACTTCAGCTACAGAACTAAAGAATGAAATGTGACTTGAACAACCTTATCAATACCTCCAACAATAAACGAAAAGTCTAAATTTTCATTTTCAGATCTATCCAGATGCAGTGCACTCATTGCGTTGGGCTACATCACATCTCTATAGAACGATCACCGATATCTTCAAAAGATATATGATGAAACAGTGATCTTGATTTGTTGATTCATTCATTATTCATAATTGGATTTCATCAATAAATTTTCCCATTTTAAAATCATGTAATTTGATGAATATTCGATAATTATAAAACATTCAAGACGTATTTTGTTAAATATATTTTAAGTTCAACATGCAAATTTGAAGGACACGTCATTAGTGAAACTACTCACGATATTCACGTCTTGGCCGAGATTTTAATCAATATACATTTTTGGTAAGCTTCGTAGTGGTGAATAATGAAGTACATTGTTAGAATTATCCGAATTTGCATTTCTACATTACCTTGTTTTTCTGCTCATATTACTGAACCTTCTTTGGCCACATTTCATGTTCTTCAATGAATTTATAAGGTAATTAAAAATTGCAATAATAATAATGATAATAGCGTTAACAATAACAATAATAATAACAGTTTCATGATGCCGACCCAAAAAATGTTTTCGCAGAATGACTGGATCATTCCATTTGAAAATGTGTTCACTTTCGAAAAAACAATTCGCTATGAATATGCCATTTGTGGCCACAGAATCGCAGAAATGTAACTAATGGTATTAAAATGTTCGAAAGATAAGATGTATAATGAGGAAGTTGAGTGTTACGTTAAATTTAAAAATCACCTGCTCATCTCATAGTACAGGCGATCTAAAACGGGTCACAAAAAGCCGGATTTATTATGTTAATATCAGTTTAGGTCAACGACCTTATGAGGTTTATTTGTGATCGGGGAAGCTGACAGTTCGAAAGTCAGCCTTCTATTTCATTTGCGAGAATTTTCAAATTCTATTCACTTGCCTATCGATGAACCGCAATCCCAGCTTATAATTGCATCAATACACATATCATCACAACGTTAGGTTGAGCCTTAAGGAAATTTGTTCCGCAGAAAAGTTTTCACACATGAAAGACTCCATTGATCGGTGACGTCGTAGTGAGAAGGAAACTCGATTGGAACCTCAGTTTCGCGTTGAATAAAACTCAAAAAACAAATGTGAATGCATTGACAAAACTTACTCGAAGTGCACGTAACTGCATTGATGATAGTAGGCAGTACTCATAGGACGAGAAGAAAGGAAAAAGACGACTGCATTTGATAAGCAACGAAGTCCTGCAATTATAATTAAAATTTATCAAGTATCCTCTCATCCAGGTACAGTGTTTTTCATCAGGCACTATCATTAACCGCACATCGGTATGCGTCCGGAG